AAAGACTGGCTTTCTTTTTAAACAGAGTAAGTACCACAAAGTCCCTAATGGTTGGAAAAAACTCAAAATAATATAGTTCACTTTCCTAAAGTGTCAGACCTTGTAGGTGCTACATGGTATTAGTAAGGTTTCTTTCTTTCTTTCGTCTGGTTATTAAAAAATAAAATCTCAACTTGGAAACAGTTTAATTCTATTACCTGACAAACATTTGCTATTCTCTTCTTTTAACACAAAGAAAGCAAGCCTCAAGTTTCAGACAATTTGATAAGCAACAATATCTAGCTAATTAACTGACTTACTTTCAACTTATTTACAATTAAATCAGCAATTTTTAAATTTTTTTTAACTGAAGGATAATTGCTTTACAGATGTTTTCCATCAGACCTCAACATGAGTCAGCCATAGGTATACATATACCCCCTCCCTTTTGACCCTCCCTCCCATCTCCGACCCCACCCCTCTAAGTTGATACAGAGCCCCTGTTTGAGTTTCCTGAGCCACACAGCGAATTCCCGATGTCTATCAATTTTACATATGGTAATGTAAGTTTCCATGTTACTCTTTCCATACATCTCACCCTCTCCTCCCCTCTCCCCTTGTCCGTAAGTCTATTCTCTATGTCTGTTTCTCCACTGCTGTCCTGTAAATAAATTCCTCAGCACCATTTTTCTAGATTCTGTATATATGCATTAGAATATGATATTTATCTTTCTCTTTCTGACTCACTTCACTCTGTATAATAGGTTCTAGTTTCATCCACCTCATCAGAACAGACTCAAATGTGTTCCCTTTTTTTTTAATGCTGTTTTTTTTATAATATTTATTTTTTTACTGAAGGATAGTTGCTTTATAGAATTTTGTTGTTTTCTATCTAAATGCATTCCCTTTTATGGCTGAGAGTAATATTCCATTGTGTTTATGTATCCATTCATCTATCGATGGACATCTAGGTTGCTTCCATGTTCTGGCTATTGTAAATAGTGCTGCAATAAACAATAGGATACATCTGTCTTTGTCAATTTTGGTTTCCTCAGGGTTTACGCCTAGGAGTGGGATTGCTGGGTCAAATGGTGGTTTTATTCCTAGTTTTTAAAGAAATCTCCATACCATCTTCCATAGTGGCTATATCAATTTACAATTACAATTACAATTACAATGCAAGAGCATTCCCTTTTCTCTACACCCTCCCCAGCACTTACTGTTTGTAGACTTTTTGATGATGGCCATTCTGACTGGTGTGAGGTGATATAAATAAGTGATTTTTTCAAGTTCTTCTTTCTTATAATACTTACAACACCTTCTACTTATCATACTGGCTTTCCATTTACAGTTGATGAGATATTTCCCTTTAAAATACTTGTAAATATTTTTTAATGAGATGATACAAATCAACACAGATGTCCTTGAATTTGGGGAAAATGTCATAAGCATGCTCAAAAAGTCTTTCCATTCTACCAAATGAATGAACAAACAAGTATTAATTTGGCCCCGTTTGTGTGTAGAGAGTAATGGTTAAGGATAACTGAGTATAGACAGTAATGGTTAAAACTAATAGAAAGTAATGTTTAGTAACACATACTCTGGAATCAAAACATCTGGTCTGAAATCTTGGCTCTACCACTTACTAGCTGTGTGACTTGGTAAATTACATATTTGTGCCTCAGAGTTCTCCATGTAAAACAAGAATGTAACAGTAACCATTCCACACGTTTCTGTAAGGGTTAAATGTAAACACGTAATGAATACAGAGCCCTTAATGAGAACTCAAAAAATGTTGTTCAGCTAGTTTCAATTTCCCTATGTAATAAAGACCTGGAGTCCCTTTAATGTTTCCTGAAACTGCTCTATCAACTGTTTAATCCTGATAGACTGAATTGAAATTTCACTAGTAGATGTATCTCATCTGAAAAAAACATTCTCTAAGAATCTAAAGTTTACTGCAAGTAATATTTTAAGAAGCAATACTCATTAAATAAATATCTAACAGTAATGTCTTAAGGCCAAAAGGAAATAGAATTAAGAACAGCATATGCAGATGGGGGAAGAAAACAAAGTACCTCAAAAAGTTAACCTATTGTACTGGGCACAAAAGATGGATGGTTTCCTAAGAGAAAGGAAAGGGCCACAGAAAAGGAGATCTTGAGGGAAGAAAAGTACCAAATCTTCCTGAAATCCATAACTGTGTCTAGAACCAGGTTTACTTATAATAGTGCATAAACAGGCACAGAACTACTGGATAGTGTTTCTTAAGATTCTCATACTTTCTCACTTTTAATGTTCAAATAGTCAAAATATAGTACCTATCCCCCTTGAAAGAGACAAACAACTGAAAGAGACTTATTAGTAGAAGAGAAAAATCTTTGAAAAAACTGATTGAGGAGCAAAGACCTACATGAGTTATCAATCCATACATCTCCTCATCTCTAGCCAGTTTTAGTTTGGAGAATTATCTGATAATGTGACTCAGTTTGAACACCTGCTAAAGCCTCTGCTGCCAACAACCTGATATCAGGGGTTACAGCAAAATAACTGACACGAATTTCTAAACATCAGAAGCTCTTTTTCTTTTCTTTTTCAATGGTAATAATTCTTCTTAAAGGAGAAATACAACATACAGAAAACATATAAAACATATAAAATATATATATAACATACAGAAAACATATAAAACATATAGAAAACATATAAAAAGTTTAACCTTTAAATTAGAGGTTGTGTTAAACTTACAAAAACTCTTTATATATGTATATATATATATATATATGTATGTTACCCAGATTCACCTGACAAAATCAGTCCTGATTATTCACTGGAAGTACTGATGCTGAAGTTGAAGTTCCAATACTTTGGCCACCTGATGCAAAGAACTGACTCACTGGAAAAGACCCTGATGCTGGGAAAAATTGAAGGCAGGAGGAGAAGGGGACTACAGAGGATGAGATTGTTGGATGGTATCACTGACTCGATGAACATGAGTTTGGTCAGGCTCTGGTGATGGAAAGGGAAGCCTGGCATGCTACAGTACATGGGGTCACAAAGAGTTGGACACGACTGAGCAACTGAACTGACATTTTTGAGGGAAACAAACTCCCTTTTTATAATAGAACAGTCTTAATTTATGACTTGCCTGATTTACCTTTGTGATTAGATTAAGGATATGCACTCTTGGTTGAAATACAGTACTGTATTAGCACATTGTGTCCTCAGGGTATCATGGATGTCCATCACCCCTTCATTAATGACACTATTAATACTTGGCTAAGGTACTGTCCAATTTTCTCACTTCATAATTACTAATTTTCCCTTTGCAATATATGTTGGAGAAATCCTAAATTCAAATACCCTCTGTCTTTACTGACTGCCCTCTAGATTTCAGATCATTTGACGATTCTTGCCTGACCCAATACTTGGAATGATAGCTGCATAATGATAATCTTCTAGCTTCTCCATTTACCACTTGGCATTCTACTATAAACAACTGCCCTATCTTCTCTCTCTCTGCTATCAACAGAGAACCAATTCATTTTCCCTCATTGGTTTATAACTTAATACTGAAGTATTGGAGCTTCGGCTTCAGCATCAGTCTTTCCAATGAATATTCAGGACTGATTTTCTTTAAGACTGACTGGTTTGATCTCCTTGCTGAGAAATGTTTATGTGAAATACAACTGGGTTCAATTGCTTTCAGTTTGGAATTTTGGGGAGTCATAGCAGAAACTAAATCTGGGCATTATATACACTCATAGTTACTGGGGTGGTTTTGTTTCTTATTCTTTTCAACAAACAAAGATAAGAAATATATGTAGGTAGGTATGGATGTACACACACACAAATACATACACACACGGCTTCATATAAATGCATATAACACATATATGTGGATATTTTTAAAGTCATATGTCCATAATGATATTTTGAACTACAATCTATTCACATAGGATTCTCTTTTATTTCCACATCTATGTTTTCTTTTTTCCTTCAGTGAGAACAAGGGCTCCCAAGAATATCAACACCTACATTTATTTTCTTAATCCTATAATACAAATATATCTACAATTTCAGAACTGCTTTGTCCACACTACTGAAAATAAAATCTTCTCAAGAGATTAGTATTTATTTGCAATTATCCCCACTATCTCTTAACATCACATCTTGCATAAAAGAGTATATACAGTCAAATACTGTTTTTGTAAAATGCTAAGTTCTTTCGTTTTCCCTTAAGTGTGATTACAATGTTTATGTGAAATACAACTGGGCTCATCTGCTTTCAGTGTGGAATTGTACCCCCTTCCCATCCTTAATGATTATACTTTTACACACACAGATACCAAAATTCAAAGCTACATGCATGAAGCTATGTTCAGAGGAGTCTCTTTCCCTGTATTCCTTTTTGCTCCATTCCCTCCAACTCCTGTAAGTAACCATCTTCACTGTTTTCTGGTTTATCCTTTCTTCACTTCTTTTTGTAATGGTAAGCTTTTTGTTTTACATAAAAGACAGAATACTGTATAAGCTTATTACACACCTAACATTACCTCCAAATACAGCTGTAAAGTTAGTACTCCATTACGCATACGTACCACAGTGGATTTCAATCAATCTTCTATTCTTAGGCTTTTACGTGGTTTCAATACTATGCAGTTGCACACAATACTGCAATGGATACTTTATGCGTATGCATTTGATACTGGTGGGGGAATGTCTTCAAAGATAAATTTCCCACAAATGGGAGTGCTGGGTAAAAAGTAGGCATACATGTTGTATTCTTAATATTGTCACTCCCTTCAAAATATAGTTGGAAAGTATTATATTTTGATTCACATCTTGGAAATCCTGGTGTACCTTTTTTCAATTTCAGGCATTAGCCAGATGTACTCTCAAAATGCTGGAATTCTCTCTCCCTTTTACTTTGGCCAAACTTGAATAATTTTATAATATTTTAAATTCTGAAAATCTTTGGAGAAAGGAATTTTCAGGAAAAAGTATGTTACTTTACTTACTGAGTGGTGTTGTGTCTGGAGGTGGAAAATTCTCAGTAAAGTTGACGTTACACAAGTCTGTGCTACAGCAGCAGAACCGGTATGTTCCATTCTGAATTGAGGGTGGGGTAGTAGTTACTACACATTCTTCATAGTGACACTCCTGGGGATCACCAATGTGAGACCAACATCCTATAAGTAGATATTAGATATTAATGGAAACAAGTTAGGAGTCCGTAGGATGAGAAAGAACTAAAAGGAAAACAACAAATTGCAAACAATGTGATGGCGTACAAATAAGTTATAAAACACTCTTGCAAACCAAAGGGAAACCTCATGTTTTTAAATAACAGAAAAAGGCAGAGCATAAAAAGGCATTTTGTGTGTGTGTGTGTGTGGGGGGAGCCATTAATAAAATGTTTCACTTCATAATTAATCCAAGAATTATTATTAAAACATCTGTAAGAATACTTTCTGATCTATTGAATTGTTCTGGTTTTTAAAATAATGATATATAATGACAACAAGGATTCAGTAACACTCTCGTACAGCGCGGGAGGGAAGGTAAACATATTCAACATTTCTAGAATGCTACATGGCAGTTTTTATGAAGAGCCTTTAAAATATTCATGTTTGATCATCTAAAAATTGTACTTCAAGAAGTCCATCCCATATGTATGGCTAAGTCCTTCTGCTGTTCACCTGAAACTACCACAACAATGTTAATCAGCTATATACCAATACAAAATATTTTTGGTGTTTAAAAAAAAATATTAAAAAAAAAAGTCTGTTCTGGGGCTTCCCTGGTGGCTCAGTGGTAAAGAATCTGACTGCCAATGCAGGAGACACAGGTTCGATCCCTGATCTGGGAGGATCCTGCATGACACGGAGCAACTAAGCCCATGAGCCACAAATACTGAACCTGTGCTCTCTGAGTCCATGCTCCCCAAGAGAAGCCACCGCCATGAGATGCCCACGCACTGCAACGGAGAGCAGCCTCCGTTCACTGAAACTAGAGAAAAGCCCATGCCCCGCAAAGGAAACTCAACGCAGTCACAAATAAAGTGGTTTTTTTTTTTGATTGTTGAAATAAAATTACAATAGGCAGAGCTTTTAATGGAGCAACGTATTGAACACTGCAGATTAGACAAAAGCCCTGGAACTGGAAGTAAAACCCATCATTGAACAGAAGGCCTTGGTTGCTGACAGAATCTCGACTTAAGACAAACCTAAGGGAGTCAGTAATGAAGTGCAGGATTGGTAAACGCGAGCAGATATCGCAGATGCCAACCATTAGATGGTTTTCCCATGCAGGGTAAAGTTTTTTTTAAAAAGATCTATTCGAGATACAAAGAATTATGTTCAACGATATTCACTGAAGAATTATATTACAATGAAAACTGGAAAACAACATAATGTCCAACAAAAGAGTAATGTTTAACTAAACTGAGATACATGTATACAATGAAATACTATATAGATATTGAAAGTGTTCTCAAAGAAACTTTAAAGACAGGAAAATATCCATGATAGAATTTAAAATGGGAAAACTGTATATTAAATTTTTTATATACTATTACAATTTGGAAAAAAAAATTACACAAACATATAACATAGGAGTACAAATGTAGCACCTGAAGGAAATAAACCAATATAGTTATAAAAAATTTTTTTAGGTATGGAATTGTAAACATTTCTCTTACAGTTTTCTGTATTTTCTAAACTTCACAGGATGTTATTATATTATTAACATTGTAATAACATACTATTAAAATTGGCTAAAAATCAATTACTTTGCAAATTTGGAGATCATTTGTGAATACATACATGAATACATAGTTTTAAATTTACTGTTCTCCTGCAGACGGTGTTATAATCTTATCTCCATGCCCTCTTAGATATTCTTCAATTGTATGAAACAGTTATTTCAGGTAAGAAAAGTACTACTTGCCTTGTTTTACCAGATTTATGTCCCCTTTTGATTTCTCCCAAAGGCCATAGCAGGTGCTACCTTTTGAGCATAATATTGTTCCGTTTTCATGAGAGATTCTACTTTCACCTATCCCAAGGTCTTGTTGATATGGATCTTTAAATGCACAGAGACGTTCTTGATTCTGAGAAGCTAAAACAAAGGAAAAAATTACAAATTTGTTTTATGATAATTTTTTTGTGCAAAAAATTATTACAAAAGCCTTTATAATCTTTTTGAAAGCCACTTTAAATTTCCCTACTAAATTTCTAACAAGGTGTGGGTAACTGAGAAATTTTGTACATATTTAGTAATATTTTCTATTAATTTGTTAACTTCCAAACAAGAAGCAAACTTACTGAATACACATTTCTCAAAAGCAATACCCTCTTATACAAATTATTCTCATCACTCTATGGAATATTAATGTCTGAATTAACAAATATCAGAAAAATGTCCATGCTCTAAATTATTAAAAATTCAAAATAAAGAAATCAATAAACCTAGAAGGCTTTATAAAAGCTTTGGAAATTCTACAGTATTCCCTTCTACCATCTTTTACAGCAAATTGTAAAATGCTAAACCTAACATCATTAGCCATATTAAACTGAGGATGAAGACTGACTGCAAATGGATACATGATTTTTATCTGGAGAGATGGAACTGTTCCAAAATTACATGTGGTAATGTTTGCATAGCTTTGTAAAATTTATCAGAAAAAAAAAAAACTCTTCACTTAAAATGAGTGAATTTCATGCTATATAAATGATACCTTAATAAACCTGTTTTTAAATATTAAGCCTATCAGTGGTCAAAAAGAAAATGATTTTCCATTATTAAAAATATCAATAAAATAGCCAGAAAAAGAAATACTTAATAATCCCTTATACTGAAGGTCATCTGAATGAATTTTCAATGCCGGTCAAGCTTTCTCCATATACATAATCGATTTAACTAATATCAGCACATTTGCCACATAATTTATCAGCTAACAAACATTTACCAACACTGCTGAGACTACCAAAAAGGTAAATGGTCATCAAAAGCAACGGCTGATCTTTATTTGGTTTCATAAAGCAGACATTCCTAATGGTTTGACTAGCTAGTAGCCAGGCTCTTCTGTCCATGGAATTTCTAGGCAATTAATACTGGAGTGGGTTGCCATTTCCCACTCCAGGGGGATCTTCCTAACCCAGGAATCAAATCCGTGTCCCCTGCATTGACAGGTGAATTCTTTACCACTGCACCACCTGGGAAGCCCATGTTAGCACTACAGATGATCTATTAAAATAATGTTTCTCGCACAAAACTAAGGACCAAACCCTAGAAAAGAAATGAAAGACCAACAACTGTGGGCTCAAGTCCATTCAGAAACACAGACCTGTCATATTTATTACAACAGACCACATTCAAAGTACTGGTCTAAGTAAATAGGGGATTTAAAGTATAGAATTCCACCCCTCAAGAATCTTCAAGTCTACTTGGAGACAGAGAGTAATTACTTAAAAAAAAAATTTGGTTTCCACAATTAAAAATTACTTCAGGCAGTCTTCTAGAAGATATCCACTAATACCAAATAAATGGCCAGAAAATACAGTATATTCTTTTTCATAAAAACTAATCTTAGGACACTAGCCTGATTATGATCCTACCATATTTTACCATAAGTAGTCACATATTCAAATTCCTTTAATGACAAACATTTATATACCTTGCATATTAATCAGTATTTCCTTAGATATATCCTAATTTGCAAACTTTAACAAATTATTATTAAAATCAAAATAAAATATATCTCTACATATAAACTACATACAGCACAGAGACTGATACTTAAAAGATGCAAACTAAAAACAAAATTCTATAATGTAGATCTTTCAAAAAAGTATGCCTATTTTAACTCCCTATCCCCGTTTCTTGATTAAAATTAAAAGCTCCTTAGCTACTACCACTTGCTGAAATTATATAACCCACTCTGCTTCCCTTTTTGTCATTATTGTTAGAAATTTTGTCATTGTTAGAAAGGTCAGAATGAATTTATAAACTAAACATCTCTAGTTTTTCACAACCAAGATAGTCTATTTTTTCTCGTCCTCTTCTGTTGTTATCCATTTTGTCTAGAATTTGGTTTTGAATATTGAGTTAATGAATAGGGATCTAACCATACCTAGAAGTAGAAGAAAATGCCTTATTTAATTTAAAAATAAAAAGAAAAAGAATATTATCATTAAATGAGACAAAATAAAAATTTTTCCTCTGCCTGGATTTCTTTTACAATAGAAAGGCAGCAAAAGGCATGAGCATAACGGCATAAATTTTTAGTGCCATTATTAAATAATTCAATGAATGAAACCTAGAAGACTCCTTATAGAGAAAGACAATAAACAAATCCAATCTCCTCTGTTTCCCTCTCTCTTCACCCCAATATCATCAAAGCAATAAAGGTACAAATGTACATACACTGAGTCATACCTTTATTGTCTCTCAGTTTTCACTAATTTTTTTCTTAAAATTACTTCAGCCTGGGCTCCCCGGAGGTCTAGTGATTAAGAATCCACCTGCCAACGCACAGGACACGAGTTTGATCCCTGGTCCAGGAAGATCCTACATGTCCCGGAGCAGATAAGCCCAGCAACCTTAACTACTGCACCCATCTGATGCAACTACTGATGCCCACAAGCTTTACTGCCCATGCTCCACAACAGAGAAGCCACCACAATGAGAAACTCCCAACGAAGAACAGGGCTGCTCAGTGCAGCTAAAGCAAGCCCACACGCGGCAATGATGACCCAGCATAGCCGAAATAAAAAAGTTTAATTAGTATAGGGAAAATATACTTTGCTATTTAACTCTTTTGAATTTTGATTCAGCAAATTACCATACAAAATAAAGATGTCTAGCAAACTACCTTTTGGTCAAATCAAAGAAAAGAAATCCGTTTCATAGAAGACTGCTTATAGTTTTTTAAATGCTCATTGTTGGAATGTTTCAGCAGTATCTCTAAACAAAGTTTTGGATTCTTCATAAATTGTGTAGGCAAAGTAGGCATGAAATAAAAAGTACTATGAGAGAGTCTAGCCTAGCATCATACTGTCACAAACAGAGACCTGATTATTTACATGTGGTTTTCTAAATTTGTCAATAGCTAGGCAAACCTTGATCAGTTGAGTATAGTCAATTAGCTCTCTTAAGAGACATCCTTACCAAGTACTGTGATTAGACATGAGTCTTTTAAAACCTGTTCTCATTTTAAAGAGGTGATATTTGGCTGTAATAAGCACTAAAACAATTTTGATTAACGTAACTGTTAAAATGCAAACAGTCACATCCAAACTGCTAACAGAGATATCTTCATAAAAGATAAAGTGGACCATGCTTAAAATCTGTTAGCTCCCTGAAGTTGCTAGAAAGAAATTTAAGCTTCATTTAGCATTGAAAGTCATTTATAATCAAGACCCAATAGGAACATGACCAATTTTGTGGGCCCTAGGAACTTCTGTTTTCATGGGACCTTTCCTCCATTAAAAAGTATACTTTATAAGTGCATTGGGAGAAAGACATTAATACTAAATATTAGAACATTTTCTTCAACAATAAACTTCATTTTTTCCCTTCTGATTTTAAAACAAATTAAAACATTTTCATGGGCCTGCAAAAATATTATGGGCCCTGGACTCTATGCCTACTGTGCCTAATGGGTAAGTCAGCCCTAGGACTCAATCTACCACTTGCCATTCACGCTATTCCTCCATTCTTCACTTTCTACCACACGAATATGCCAAGGGCTTTTCAGGCCTTTACACATAATATACCCAATACCCAGAATGCCGTTTTTCATGCTCTGCTTTAGCATTATATGGTACTATATTTTATCAATTTAACATACATATCTTCCCCACCAAGCAGGAGGGTGACTTCACTTGTTCCCAGAGTCAGATTAGGTTTACGTAACTCATTTTGTATACCACAAATCCCCAACAGTGTTATGGGCAGTTTTCATATCTACATGAACTATACTCAATATCATATTCCCACTCAAAGATGATATATCTAGGCAATAATCATCTAGTCCTTTGACCATGAAACTATAAATGAAGCAATAAAAGTAGTATTAGTGTAGAGACAACATATACTATATTGCTCCATATGCATATAAAACTGAAAATAAAGTAAACATTTTCTGTTTACATAAGCTTTCTGGGATCTGCATTTGCTAATCATATGCAGCATTTAATTCCCAGGAACAGATGTGGCATGTCTAGAATACTCAGCTGTCTTACATTTCCCACTCTGTGACATAACACTATCAAGAATGCAGGGTATAAAGGTATGGCATAGTTTCATCATGTCAGCATCAGTTAACTGTCACTACAGACATAAATCAGCATCATTATGCTTACACTGAAAAATACTACCTACTTGCTTTTTTATGAAGAAAAGAAAAGGAAAAAAGGCTGTACTGAAAATATTAACTCTGCGTGTACTCAGTCATGTCCGATTCTTTACAACCCCATGGACGATATAGCCTAACAAGCTCCTCTGTTCCTGGAATTTTCCAGGCAAGAATCTTGGGAGTGGGTTGCCATTTCTTCCTCCAGGGGATCTTCCCCGGGGACTCGAACCTGTGTCTCTGACACTGGCTGACAGATTCTTTACCACTGCATCACCTGAGAAGTGAAACTATTAACTATTTGCCCTTTAAAAACAAACAAACAAACAAATACTATCATATTTTTTGAACTTTCATGAAAATATATTCATGATTACTTATGTTTCAAAAACAAAAGTTTTTGAATGATTTTTATGTTAGATTTTTAACTTTTAAATACCAATATATCCATAGGTAATTGAAAAGAAATACAGGGAAGAGAATTTGATTTGCAAACTAGGTTCCCACTTCTCCATTCTTTGGCTACTGAATAAAACTTATGCTAGTCCAGTCTAGAAAAGAAAAGAAAAATAGAGAGTAGTCCAATACCTCTCTCATCAATGCAAACATCCCACACAATCACTATACAGTAGTAATAAAACCAAGAGATCGATATTAGCATAATCCAGAGTTTAATCAGACTTTATCAGTTATACATGTACTTATCTGTGTGAGAAAAAATTTAAGCAATTCTGTCATATACTATCACAATCAAAACATTCAA